CGATGTTTGCTCAAATAGCAGGATTAACACTTCCACCACTATACATGTATGGGAGAAGAGAATTCGTGCGGCGATTCTTACAACGACCGGAACCACAATTGAACGGAGAGAATTTAGAAAGTAGTGGGCGTGGGTAAAGAGGGAGAAGAAATATAAAGAAATACCGGAAAGAGAAGCAAAGAGAATCATCGTAGACAACACTTGACAAACCAAAAAGAAAAAAAGACAGTATACAGACTCCGGATGCAGTTGTAATCCCGATCTCAGCTCCCCAAGCGCACGCAGTAACAAGACGTCATTTGGGGCCGTCTCATCGTTCCTCCATCATGCAGAAATCCATCCACCAGCAACATTAACCCACTCAGACAGACAACTACCCTGTTTGCCCTCGACATCAACAATGTCGGTGTCACATCTGCATCGACACCCAACACCGTTTTCCTTCTCCGAGTCCCAGTTTTCCCAATAATCATCTTCCTCCTTTGCCTTCTTGGGATCAGTAGTTGTCTTCTCGAGCCATTTGGGTCTTGGAAGCTGTCTTGCTGGGGCGTTAGCCGGACAATGCTGGATTGTAGTGTGTCGGTATCCAAAGTCACGGAAATAGTGAATATCGTATGGTTCGAGAAGGACGCCGGCTGCTAGAGAATGGATAGGAGCATCTCCCCACTGTAGGAGTAGTCAGCAAAAGAGAAACAAGATTTGTAAAACTACTGGAAAATATACCCTTTCGGTCCAGAAACCGCCGCTTCTATCCATAGTCTCGAAGAACTTCTCGTACTTCTCGCTCCGGAAGAAATCTAGTCTAGCGATTTCGAAATTGCTCCAGAAATGGCACATATTGTAGGCCTCTCCCTCCATTGCATCGCCATCAACAACGGGCCATTTCTCACCAGCAGTGTTGACATTATCGATTGTGGGCTCCTCATTTTCCTCCTCTGGTGGGTGGTGGGGGTCTTGCCTCGGCTCCGCAAACATTGGCCAAAGACCTGTGGTTGGAAGGTTGTTGTTCCTCTTGTACGCAGATGCATATCGGAAAATGTTAGGAACAGTCTCCTTCAACTCTTTGACAGCAATGGTAAATCCGTATGTTTTATTCTGTCGTTGCATGTGGAGAAATGGGTCACTAAAGGTTCCGGTCAGTACCGGGTGATCGGGGGGGAGGCTATTACATACTAGGTAATATCGCAGAAGTACTTGATCTCAGGCTCCAATCTCCAGTACCATTCATACTTGGCAAGTAGCTCATGCTTGTAGAAGAAGCTAGTACGGAACAGATGTCAGATAATACTGATGGAAACTTAGAGGCGCAACCGAAGAGGAATTATTTATACCCAGAATAAAAACGACACATGTGATGGTAACTGGCCATACCACCGTACATGATAGCAGCATCTCCCTGTTTCGCAATTGACTCGGTGGCCTCATCCTTATCAACCCAATCTGGGAAACCCCACATTGTCTTCGGGATCGATCCAAATTCTACTGTTCCGCTGGTGTAATTGATGATGGTCGACTTGAAGGTCTCATTGAACTCCTCGTCATTGAGAAATACATATGGATAATTATACCAGCGGTTGAAATGACGTTCTATCGATTTTACCGATTGGATAACGCCCTCCAACTCGCTATTTCTAGCCAACACAACAAATGCTGCATTTACTCGAGGGGTATCCGTTACCGGTTCTAAACACCCAACAACGAAGGGTTTATCATAGGCTTCCGAAATTCTTCTGTAGAGATAGTTAGATTTAGAGCGCATACCGCTGGTCAATCGCTTCTTAACGATGGGATAAGAATGAAATGTTACCTTATCGCAGGGGGGGAGCCCGAAGGGATCAAGATGGAAGTACGATTATCCGGATGTCGAGAAAACAAAAGCATTATGAGTAGAACTACCGTCATTGGGAACAACAACACGACCCCCAGCGGTACAGATATCGATGAATTTCCTTTTAACCGTATACGCCGCCGCAGAAATGATAACCGGGATGGAAGGCGGCCCTTAGAAATATCTTCAAGTGAAGGAATGGCAGCTTTCGAGGGAATCCGCCGAACGAGTTGACTTACCAACCCCATGGTAGGCAATCAGTGAAAAAGGGGAAGGGGAGAGATTAAAGTAAGGTAAATGGAAATTATATATGGCGGGGAAATCGGCAGTAAGTATCGAATAAAAGATAGCCGTTCCTGATGAGATGGTGCGGTAGGAAACAAAGGTGATTTGTGGGTAGAGGTAGGCTTTTTCGAGAGAGAGGCGCTCCTGAAAAAATCTCACCGAACCTTCGTAACTTTCGCTACGAACGGGAATGAAACGGACACTTTAGTAAGTATAAAGTGTAAATTCCTCAGAAGGCTGGCAAAAGACAGCGAAAGAGGGTGGAAAAAGGCCAGCGTCCCAGATTGGTTGAAGGAGAGATACCCGATGGTTCTGGAGAGAGAGAATGGGAGAGTCTGCAATTTGAGCAGAAGAAGGTCCAGCGCTGCCGGTCTTTAGGGGAAAGGAGCGAAGGTGTTGAGGCGACGGGCAAGCAAAATCTTACGGAGGATGAATCGGGTTAGCCGCCTCAAGCTCCTCCGTTGCCGCCAAGACCTGCAAGGTATGTCCGGTAGAAAAAGGAATGTATCTTAAAAAAGAAGCTGACAGACAAAAGATGTTTGCCACTTCTCTTTGAAAAATGTAATTTGGAAAGGATTTAGCGTGCAGGGAGATCAAAAGAAGTATATAACGTGCGTTTCCCCGTTTTTGCCTCTGTTTTGTACTATATCTCGTTGCTAGTAAGAGAGAAAGTGTAAATGGAGAACCTGAGATATCATGCCGTGACATCAAGTTAATGTTGCTGCCCGTCCGTAGCCTGCGGCGACATAGT